CTGCCAGCATCCTCTCATCATTCTCTTTAAATGCACCCAGCTGTCATCACTTCAGTTTTTGCAGCACCCACTCACCCCGACATGCTCCAGAAATGCCTCCTGCATGGATCAAGGATCTCAGCTAAGACTTGCTCTAGCCTGCTGAGGCTAAGATTCACTGCATAAAACCAGGCAAGGCAGCTGGGAAACTCAAATATAAAAGCAATTGAAACAATTTCCCAATGTAAGTAGGTTCTGAATAGTTTTTTTTTTTTTCTGGCTTGTAACTGTTAGACCTAAATTCTCCCAAAGTCCTTTACAGGCATTTGTATCTGGAGCCTGTGCTGTTCTTTGAAGAGTAAACCTTAAAAAAAAAAAAAAAAGAAAGAAAGCAAAAATGCCAGCAAACACTTTATCACTTTCCTGGAATTCTCTATCATTAAAGATGGCCAATTTTTGTCTCAGAGTCCTGAAACATTTGGACAATTCAAGTAGGAATGATCTCTACCACCTTCCACTTTTCTGCATGTGTTCAAATTCTTTTTATCTCATTTGGCTAAGTGTGAGGCAGTCACATAAATAGCATGAGGCAGCCCCATTCTTTGGCAGGTATGAACCAACATATATAGTGGCATTTGTGCAGTTAAGAACAAGAATTGAGTCCTGGGGAACCTGGCGAAATTAGAGAATTCTCTAACAAAGAGAAGGGCTTCATTGTTTAAGTCCTTGGCTGGCTGATCTCAAATATGAGCCTTATTTAGGAGCTGTCTTTACTTGTTTTTGGTAACGATCATCAGTGTTGAACTGATAATATGTGAAAAAAAAAAAGAAGACTAGAGCAAGGTAAGAAATAAGATTGCTTTCAGCATTGCATAAAGTGAGCAATTAAGTGAAATGGTTCAAATATTTCACTCTGGGTATACTCCTTCTCAGAGCCAAGGATCCTTTAGTAATTGCTTGAAAAGCAGAGGCAGAGGGGAAAAATTAAAGAAGAATCAACATCAAGTCTAAGATGCTTGGCTGAACTTGAGAAATGCTCTGATAATAGCTTCAAGCATCCACATGGAAAAATACATCTCTACTTAATATTATTGATTCTATGTCCGGAGAAAAAAACAAACAAAAAAAAAACCACAAAATATTGTGTCCAGGCTGCTGGAGATGCTAACTGGAGGGAGACAGCCAAATGAAGTCAAATTCATTACTTTGTTCAAACAATGAAATTCAAGCAGAAAAGAAACATGGTAAAAAGCCCAAGGAAAAAAAAAACACTAAAACACATTTTTCCCTCTGAGATATAAGTGCTTTTTGTAACCATTCAAATACCTTGGTGAACTCCTGACTTATTAGAGTTGATGGGAATTTATTGACTTCAACAGAGGATTTTACCTTACAAATATGCTCTGGCCATTCAAAAAGCTTTGGTGACCATGTCCTATGTCTTTCTTTCACCTGAATCTGGACTGAATGGATAAGCACCATTTCATGGTGCTTATATTGAAGGCAGAGATTATTTGCCCTCTTCTATTTATAGGAGAAAGGCAGCTGTCAGTGCAGTGAGATAAACTCCTGGAAAATCACTGAGAACTTTTAAATTGAGGCCTTGGGTTCAAAATCTCTCCTTTTCCATTAACAACAGAGATATGCCATGGTAGACTGACTTTCTCACCCCCTAAATATTCACCAAAATGATGGTCATGCATATATGGTAATAGTTGCAGGCAGTGTCCTAAATTTGCTGCATTTAGCAATGAGCAAAACACTTTGATAAAACACAGAATTACCATTTACACAAGAGCCTCCACAGAAAGACACTGAATTTATTAAAAAAAAAAAAAAACCCAGAGGAATAAGCTGCATTTATATAATAAATCGCAAAGCCTGTGTTTAACTTTTTCACTCTGCAAATATTTTGTACCCAAACACGCCTCCCAAGGAAGACTTTTTTTTTCAAGGTGGGACTAATCAAGTCCCAAGACACTGGGCATACGCTGGAAGAGGATTATATCTGAAATTAGAATTGCATATTGGTCATTGTTTTTCTCTCATTTAAGATAGATATGTGGATTAAATAGCATTATATTTAGTAACAAAGAGGAAATTAAAAGGGGCACACATTAGGAACAAGATGATGTCTTTTCCTAAGACCAGTGCTGAAGAAAATGAGCAGGAAGTGACAGCTCCTCTGGCAGTGCTGGGTGCTGAAGTCTCTCTTAATGCCAGGCCAGGAGTTTGGGCTCATGAACCTGATATCTAGGCTTTCGTGCCACAGAGGACCTGGGAAATGTCAATAACTGCAACAAATATTGTACCATTTACCTGACAAGTCACTCATGAAACACTCTTATGACATTTTACGAAGCCTCGTGAGATGGTTTTGCCTACTGGAAATAACTGATGTGTCTGCAATACACCAAATTTTCTATTTTTTTCCTACAACTTTAAGTCTGTACTGTCATGTTAGGGAGTGTGGTAATTAAATGTGCTCAATTCTCTTGAAAAAAAAAGAAAAAAAAAAAAGAGAGAGAAAAACTCTCAAGATCTGCTTGTTTTACAGATTGGCACATTTCAGGAGGGATTTTTCTTTGTTTCCAAAGGTATCTCAGCTCCTATGTTATCTTTCAGGATGGTATAACAGAAAAGTAAAAGACACATTAAGATAGGGCCAAGTATATATTTTTAATCTGTATATGTTTTTGCTGTGAAAAATATTTCCAAGTTTTATGTTAAGAATTTTTTTTTAATGTAAAAGATGATAGAGACCAGTGTCATCACATTCTCTGATAACTGCTGCAAATAATCATTTTAAGATTATAGTCTGGACTTTTTAATGCATATGCAATGTGTCTAAACTTTCATACCATCCTTTTTAGGATCCTGAATTTCTGCATAGCAAGTAATCTAAATATACCATAGTGTGAAGATTAGATTGAGTTCAGTGTAGAGACATACATTGTCATTTCTCCTTACCAACACCTCCTACTATTGCTCGGCATGTAAAGGTATTTCATTTGCTGAATTTAACCTGTCGACTGTAACAAATATGTCCTAATCCCATTATATGCATCACAGTTCACTAGCAACCACGTAGGAACCACCAAGCCTTTTCCTCTTTGATCATTCCAGATTTACACACTGGCCAAGGGCAAGAACCACGAAGTCTGCTGAGAATAGATGAGTGGAGGCAATCTGCAAGGTGTCTCACTTACATATTCAATATAAATGACAATTGTTTAAAAGGTGCCTTAACTTCCATTTTACAAAGTTCACTACAGCCATTCTCGTCCACTAGTTCTCTGTTTCCATTTGTGCTGCTGTAACTCCTCTGATTTCCTCGTGGCATAATTCTTAAATACCTGACTGCAGCTGTGACATGATAATTGTATCTGTCTAGCTTCCTTCTCCATTAATTCAAATATTGACTTCTGTTCTTAGGAGTTTAATTTGACATCAAATCTTCACAGGCAGAAAACAGAATTTAAATCTTATGAAAATCTTGGGCATTTTAACATTTACTACAAGTGCAAACTGAGACAAAACATTACATATTGAAAAGTTTACAATTAACGGATAATTCTGAAATATTTTTACACGTGACAATGACCTTCTGAAATGCCCTCTCTGAATATAGTTTATATGTTGTATATAATACTGTTTTGATCTTTATTTTATATAAAAGTGAAACTTTTAGATCCTCCTGTTTTATTGTGAAGAGTCAGAATGATAAAGGTGAAGCTTTTACATAGTTCTCATTTAAAATATTTCTTTCCTGAAAAACACTGTTTCAACACATTTTTGAGAGGAAGCAAATTTTCCATGTTCCCTGAGAAAGGTGAGAAAGGCTTAAGTTTCTAAGTTGCCTAAGAAAACTTGCAATCAACTGTTCTACAAAGAGCTTTTTAGACAACAAATGTGATCATTTCAAGATCATTGGAAGAATCTCTTTGTTTTGGTCTGCAAAATCTTTCAGAAGGCCAACAAGATGCTGTGCTGACAGGCTGCAGCTGCAGGATTGTTAGGGCTCTCAGACAATATTGAATGTCTCCTGTCTGAACGCTGAGAGCTATGGAGGCTCTATCGACTTCACTGCGGAATTAGAACAAAATGAATGAGGCTCAAGAAAGGATTAAAAAAGAAGAGTGAAACTTTTCCTCACTGTAAAGCAGTTTTCTAAATTTGAGAGTCCCTCTCAGGTTTAGAATAAAACTATTTTTCTGTCTGCGCCATTAGACAACTCTTCAAAATGATTAGAAAAGATGTTAAAACATATTAGTGTTCAGGTTACTACCAGTTCTCTCAACTAGGGCAAAAACATTGTGTATAATCAATTTTAATTTTTCATATGCCTATGACAAAGCATAAAGCTGCACAGTTTGGATTATAAGCATAGCAGGACAGTTTTCCCTTTTCTTCTCTCACCTCATTTAATTTGCTATTTTGACTGCAATCATTAAAGGAATAATAGAAGCATTTTTACTGGCAGTAAGTTTTACAAAACATGACTTTAACAAGTCCTTTCAAAAATTTTGGACCAAGCAATAATTCAAAGAATTAATTTAGCCCTTTGGTGCAAATGAGATGTTTTCAAATTATACACATGTATGAATCACTTCACACAGAACTGAATTATAGCCAAACTTGCTCAGCTGCAAGGTGGCAGCCATAGAGACAAACTTTGTAGGTTGAGTAATCCTGGACAGGACACTAAAGCAAAGCATTTCTCTTGCAGTTGTTTCCATGGTATCTTTAACACCCACATACAGCAAATAGGACATTGGTTGTTAAAGTCTCATCCAAATAAATCCCACAAAGTAAATTGCATGGAACTCAATTTATCTACCTTGAAATGAAGTTTGCTGGGATCTGAACCTGTGACTTCAGGAAAAAAATAGGCATTTCAAACCTGATGTGCAAGTCATTCAGCCATTCTATCAGCTTTAACACTAAGACATAAATATTAAATTCAAGAACATAAGCATGCACATATATCTCTAAATCTGTATGTATATAGATGTACCTACATTTGCCTGAGATTCATCATGCCCATTGATTTCTGCTAATTCCTTGGCACTTTTTAACTGCAAAGAGTAAGCAACAAAACAAAACAAAACAAGTACATTATTCGAGCATTTCACATAGTTATCTTTGATTTATTTGAAGGAACATTTTATAAAGCTTCCAGTGAGAAAAACAGATGGAGCATATAATTCTAATGAGTTTTTGTTCAAACCATTTTGAAACCAACATACTTAAGGCTTGATAGGTTAGCAAAGAAAAAAAAAAGAAATAATAAGACTGGGTCATTATTTTTGAAATAATAAGATTAGAAAGTAGTTTCAAGGCATAAAAAGTGTGCAGAATTGGCTCTCAAGAATAATAAATGATTTCATTTCCCATTCTTGCTGCTATTAATTCAAACTTTGGAATATTCGCAAGTTGCCACTAGCTAAATAGTGTTTTGCTAATGATTACTTTTGAATGATATATTTTGAGCTGTTTACGATGCCAGAGTGATACTGTATGTTTCCTTACTGTGGAAGAATCTAAATAACTGTCAGGGCTGCTGGATATGATGGAGAAGGGGGTGAAGAGAAGAACATCTTTTTTGTTTAACTGGTAGAAAGAACTGAGAATCCAGTTAATTTCAGATTCTGAGCTGAAGCAAAGTCTTTTTTCCCTCCAAATTGGCTTTTATGAGGAAATTTGGAATTACTTCTTGGGGAAATGTAAGAGATCACTAGCAAGAGGCTCAAGAAAGGTCCTAGCTCAGCCACATGGAAACATGCAGTCGTTCGTCTTGTGATTGAGCAAACACGGCTGGGAGGAGATGCTGCAGCTGTCACAAGCTGGTACACCATGGAGGTTTCCATGCTTAAATGAAGCATACGAAGCCATTTACCCTTTAGGTGCATTTCTGAAGAGTTTATGCCGTCTTAATTCAGAGAAAATATTTGAGGTGGAGGTGATGGGAAACCATTAATGGAACTTCCTTCTGTATTCCTTGGCTTCCATCTGTTTTTGCCAAAGAAGCTAGGATCGATTTAACTGTTGATGACACTGCTGTAATCCTGAATGACAACAATCCTAAAATCCAGGAGAATATGAGCGCTATTCTGTTTTGCTTAGGTGTCTGAGTCAGAAGCACTGGCTGATTACTCTGGGAGGGCTGGCTAGCTTACCTCCATCATCCTTCTGCCGTGTGACAGCAACAGATAAACTGCTTGTGAATCATCAAATTTTCACCGTTTCCATGCTGAGCTTTAAGGTATGCAGGGCATGATTTCTGTATACCTTAATATACAGGGCTGTAAGCCATACCAATTCAGAAACTGCTGCACCACCAGTTAAATTGGTCCTTATGGCGAGGGAAATGGGGGGACAGTCTCTGAGAAAGCAGTGCCAACGATAGCTGGGCACTGCAAACTCATCAGCTGTCCCAGTTCAATTCACTGATGCTCATCTTTCAATATCCTAGAAAAGACTACAATTTAAAGCAGTATGATGCATTTCCAATGAATGTTATGTGTTTTTTTCTGCTTTGAAAAATAATCTTGCTTTAAAAACTGCCATACTGTAAGCATGGCCATTAGGAACAAGCTGAGAAGGCTAATTAAAGCCAAGCACCAAAGTTGGGTATTCCTGCATAGCAGCATCACTGAGAGAGCTGTTTCCTAATTCTGCCAGTTCTTCATTATCCAAATTCACCTCACAGGAGTAGTCCTGTTGAGCTGAATCTAGTTGGGTTACTCATCTGGATAAGTGGTTAGGAAAGCAGGCTTGTGCATCTAAAACCGTTCTGTAGGTTAACACCATGTTCAGAGAGTTCTGCTCATTGCTTACCTTTTGCCTTTCCTTTTTAAGATTCATAAAATACAGTCACCCTTTGGTGTCTGCTGGCTTCTTGGGCAATGCATCACGTGTGTTCTGCTGGTGACCACTGCCTTGTCAGTCTCACACTTGTTGGGATGGAGCCTGGACTCAGCCTCTAGCCTATATTGGTCTGCTGGACTTTCACCCCACTACCTTTTCCCAGGATCATTGCCCTGGTACAACTGGTACAAGCAGCAATAACCTAGTTATAACATAAATGGGATGGTACTGAAGAAGGTGATAGTGTCCACAGCTGCATTCCCCAAATTAACGAGGTAATAGTCCTTCTTTTTCCAATACTATTTCATTTAATTTAAGTAGGAAGTACACTCTTCTGTCACATCCTAAATAATGCAATGTAGACATAGAAACCTCAAAAAACCATACAATATTGGAAAAAGCAGGACTTGGCAGGTTCTACTGCAGATTCACAGTGAGTGTGATATTACCAGTAGAGAGCATGCTAAGCCAAAACACTGAACTAGTGACTGTAACAACCAAGGGCCTACCTGAAAGGAAAGGACAAGTTTTAAGGAAATAGAAGCCCCTGGTGCATCAATTTACTGGGACATGTTCTTTGAGGACACAAGAGATTAAAGAAAACACACAGCCATCAGACCAAAATCCTGCATTAAGGAGCTCCATATCTTTGGAGGATGGCTCATGCCATCATGAACAAGCTCCTCATTAACTAAAGCCAGAGGCCATAGCCCAAATCCGATCTAGAAACCTCTTGGCAATGGTAGTGCACCATGGGGCACGAGGAAACAGGACCTCCCCGGCAGGACCCCTGTGCCTGGATGACTCCAGAAGAATCAGAGCAAGCTACTGGTGGGCTAGCTCGCAGCATGGGGGGCCCCCATGCTCAAACACAGCTGCACCTTCCCATGTAAACACGCCTTGATCGGCTTGACATAAAAGGCACATTTCAGCAAATGTATTACAAATGGGAGTAATTCCATCGAGGCGGGAGCCCACTATTTATTTTCAAAAGAAATGCTCATATTTACTTGACTCCGCCATATGATTTTCAATATCCAGCATGGATAAAACCTACAGATGAGCTGTGGTGCTCGTGAAGGAAAGCTGTGAGCGTTGGCAAGCGGGGGTCATTACTGCGAGGGCTTTTGCTGTTCTGGAAAAGTTTTGGAAATGGTTCAGGTCTCCAGTGCTGGAGAGGCACACTAGCTGGGCTGCGCTGGTTAGGAATTTTGGCCACTTGCAGCCACGGCCTTAGGCATGTTTCAAAGTTAATTCTCGAGAGAAATGCAGATCCATCGTGCTGTTCTTCCAGCTACTGCTTTCTCTGTCTGCCTAGCATGAGTGCACATTTGATTTGCAATTTGTAGGAGTCTGCAGAGATTCAGAAGTCTGCCTTGGTGGTCCCTGTGGGGGCTGTTTTCGCAAGAGCTCCTTATATGCTTTTGTAGCATATTAATTTCTATTATGACATAATAGAATTTTTTTGTTGTTTTTTTAGTGTGTTGTAATAGTATACCTTGAAAAAGTTGAATGAGGTGACATTGACTGAAGAAAGAGATTATATTATTATCATTTAATATAATAACATTAATATACATGTTAATATATTAATATAATATATTGATATATGTTTACTATTATTATATAAGGTATTATTATTATATAACATATTAATGATATGTTATATTATTATTATTATTAACAGATTCTAACAGATTATATGTTTAGAAGCATTCTGTTGTCGCCAAATCCACTGTTCCTCATGGCACTTTGTATAATAAGACACTGTTGCACCAGTTCATTTAGAATTTCACCTTTGTAAGCATAAATGCTAAGAATATGGATTTGAAAATAAAAACCTCTTCTTTTTTTCCCAAAATCTAAACTATTCTAGAATGTATTTGTCATTAGATATACTAAATGACCAGTTTTAGGAATGGAATGATGACATAGCTTTTATAACGAGTATTAAAAGAAAAAAAAAGAAATACTTGTACTTGTTTTTCCCAATATGGGTGCTAAATGCATACACCTATTTTCAGACATATTCAGAAATTAATTTTGACAAATCTTTAACATAAGAACAACCAATGCTTTGGATCTTTACCACTCAGGTTATTCATATGATCCAGTCTGCAAACTGCAGATATTTATCCAAGGCACTAAATGTTTTAGCTCAAAGTTTGCAAAAAAAAAATCAAAATAAGGTCTCAAAGCAGAGACTGTGCTTACGCAGCACGTTTGACTTTGTGATTCTAGTATGTCAACACAATGTGTTTCAAACACAATATTGATTTGTACACATAGTGATTACATACACTATGATATTTCTTTTACAGATTTACAGATTTCCTTTTAGGTGTGAAATTACCCATTTTATTCTGCTTTTAAGACAACACTACTATATATGCTGCACAATGTCACAGAGTATCTCAGTGTCAGAGAAATCTAAAATAAAATAATCTGATTTGTAGAGACTTGTTCCTCACTGATTACATATTTTTTCTAATATCATAATAAAGGTTTTTTTTGTATATTTGCATCTGTGTAAATAACACAGGTCACTTCAGGCTCTTTTTATTCAATAATAGCCTTAAAGGAAATACGTGATTTGTTTGAAATATTTTTACTTTTCTGTTTTATTTAACTCTCCTTACATTTATTTGTCTCCAAAGAGAAAACACACTTCATTGATATGCATGTGGAGGAAGACAATATTCAACGCGTGAAATTCAATATTGCATAGTGTAAAATAAGGATCCATTTTCACTCTATTTTCTTAAGCTCTATGTTACCCTAAGCTGCATTCACAAACGTTACTCAGGTCTCACACGGTTATGTCTTGCTCATAATGATCAGTATAGTCAATGGTCAGATTCCTATGGATTTTGGAGATGAATCCTTGAGTCCTTCTCAGTACATTTAAGCCAGCCTTTTTCTCTGACCAAAACCACTCACCTGTTCCTGCAGGACTTTAAGCATTGCTTGTGTGTGCGTTTGCTCTTCCTTGGCTTGCTCCAGTTCGGATTTTTTGTTATTTAATTCCTCCTGTATGCTCAGCAATTGCTGCACAAATAGAAGAAGTTTGTGGTTAGCACAGTCTGGATCCAAAGAAGATTTAAATCCACAGTTTGATAAAATCCTAATTTCAAACAATGCTTTGCAGGATGCTCCTACATTTATTATTTTTACATAATCTGCTCTGCCTAAATGGACTAGAGGTAAATTATTTTCATCTGCACCTCCTTCTGCAGCAGTGCTCCACGAGTAATGCATCTGTTAATGTGCATTAAGCTATTTGTTACATTAAAGCACAAACTCTTGGTACAGTATATCACCCACAGAGGGACTGTCACATTCATCTGAGCCAAAATCTTATTTGTAGAAGTATACGTGGTGGTTTTAATAATACTAGGGTAAACACTACAGTACATAAATAATTTAAAAGCACAGCCCTTTAATATAATTAGTCACTGGCCCAAAGCCATTTTCATTCTATGCAAAGCAATATTCTGGAAAGCTTTCACCCTGAGTTGCCAAGAAGAAAGCTTTCCTTTTTTGCCTTGTGCTGTTTTATTTTATTAGATCAGTATTGCTGACACCCTACAATCAGTATATCAGCCATGAAGTCTGCTGATCTGCATCATCCAAACAAAAAGCTATGACCAAGGACTATTTTTATTAAGATAATTTCTGGAATATAAGGGCATATTTAGAAGTCCACAGCCTCTCATCTTGAATAGCTCTGTGTTCTGTGCAGATTTATTGTGACTGTCAAGAACAGGTCAGTAGATTTAATTAATTCCAAAATAATTATATATTTCTGTATTGATGTGATGTATGTTAGACCCTGCTAAGAACAAGAGAAGACAACCGAGAGATTAAAGAGGGAGTATATTGTGCTTTCATAATCAAAAATGGAAAGCCTAAATTGCTGGGGCAACATATTGCTCTGATTACACTCTTTTTTAAGGATGACTAGAATGAACACTTGCTTTAACAACTTGGTTTAGTGATCTTTCACTTTGTAAGCATCCAAAGCTTACTTTATGCATTGTTTGACACTCCATTACTCTGGCTCAAGCTGATGTTGCAGGCGTTTATCATTTGGTCAGTCATAGACCAATAACCAAGAAACAGACATAAACCCTGTCCCAGCACGCTGGAAGGCCCAGGCATCAAAGGACTCAGTCTCTGTTGAAGCACCAAGGTTGTTTTAAGAGTAGCTTGGAAACATTTGTCACTTCATGGCTTTTGGCAGAGGGATTCGTAGTGTACTCCAGCTGTAAGTGAACACCCATTCAATGGTTGGAGTCAAGTCATTCAGCTACTGAAGTAAAAATCCATGTGGGTGTATGTCTGACTGTATCTTCTATACAGTCACAGAATCATAGAATCACAGAATATTCAAGGTTGGAAGGGACCTCTAGAGATCATCTAGTCCAACCCTCCTGCTCCAGCAGGGACACCCAGAGCACGGGGCACAGGGCGGCATCCAGGCGGATTTGGGAGATCTCCAGAGAAGGAGACTCCACAGCCTCCCTGGGCAGCCTGTTCCAGGGCTCTGGCACCCTCACAGGAAAGAAGTTCCTCCTCACATGCAGATGGAACTGCCTGTGTTTCAGCTTATGGCCATTTCCCCATGTCCTATCGCTGGAGTCCAGCTGGTGGAGACTCCACTGCCTCTTTCAGCAACGTGTTCCAGTTCAATCACCCTCACAGTGAAGAAATGCTTTGCTGTGAATGCATCTAGCCCCCTATGTGCTGGGGGAAGTTCTTCATTGCTTCTCCAGAAAAAAACAGAAAATCTTGAGGCATGAGATTTAATCATCACTATATCAGTGCTGCTAGGATTAGGGAGTACAGGGAGGAGTGTGCAGGACCTGTTTGCCCCACGACTTCTGAAAAGAGTGAACGGATATTCAGAACTGAGGAGAACATCACCACTTTCCCTACCATCGCCTTTTCTTCAGATATTTTACTCCAGTTCCTGGGAGACATGTTAGAGTCCATCCATCTGAACAATATCAAATCTCATCTAGGAGACCTCAAGTGAGTTTTAAGCCCTCTGCTACTGGAAAGTCTTTTCATTATTTAATGCCTGTCGTAAATGGGAGATCAAATCTCACTTCCAGGCTGAATTTGTTACACATCTGTCACTAAGACTGAAACCTCCTTCCCTATCCCACCCTACCACTGTTCTCCCATAGACAATTCCTATGTACAGAAAATCAAACTGCCACTGCTTAAATCTCATATCTCCCGCCATGATTTAGTCCAATTATATCTTTCTTCCTTGAATCCTGACTTTATCTGCTTTGTGTTTGAGGAGACAACTTCCAAAATTGCCTGAGCTCAACAGAAAGTGGAAGACAGTCACTGAAAGCACAAGGAGAGTTTCTCACTGCTCTGCATCCTTGTACTTGGCTCTAGATTAGGCAGGAGCAGCAGGAAAGCATCCAATGTGCGGAGTTTCCCCATAGTAGAAGACTGCAAACCTTCTGGTCATAGTATGAGCTGGAAAACACTGGATATGAGACAAAACTTCGAAGTTTTAATGGTTAAATTTTTAACTATTTCAGGCTTACTGTATATGCACAGGCTATGTTGAAAGGTCTTCTTTTTCATGGGGATAGAAGAGGCAGTATCTGTAACTACAGTACCACATTACCAGTCACATGTAAGGTGTCACAGCACTGGGACCTTCCCATTGAACCCCTTAAGATGCCAGAATTGCAACTGCTGGCTGCCGTTCCGTGGACCTTTGACCTTCATTTCTTTTCCTTTCCTCTCTAAAAGCTGCAGAATCTACTCATTTTGCATGGATCAGGTGCTGAGATCTCTTTTTCCTGAGTGGTTGATACCACTATGAAGAAGTTATAACAGAAACTTATATCTGCCAAGTAACTTATCTTTTGCTTTTAGTCTTATTTTGGGAAATGACAACATAGCTTTGACTGAAAAATATCAGTCTGAGACAGATGACTGGCATGAAAAAATTCATCACAAAACCACAAAGTTGGGCAAAATCAAAAGTAAATCAAACATGGTTCTTATACTGAGAAGAATGAATCAGGTTTCATAATAGGGACTGTTGTCATGCTCATTTGCAAACAGACAACCACTCCATAAACATTGTAAGGAATGATGTCAGGATGCTTATATTTAATTATTCAGAATTATTTTGCTTTTCACATAAATGTGTTTATTAAAAATTGATCCTATAGATTTTCCCTCTGCCTTTCAGATTACTTGCAAATGTATATTACAATCAATTAAAATTAAAAATGAATCTGATTTGAGTTTACTGCTTGTGCTGTCTGATCCTGCTTCTCTTTCTTCACAACGTCATCTAGCTTTTCTGCCAGAATTTCCCCCTACCCACCCATACACACCCTGTTTCCCACCTGTTTTGTCCTGCTGGCTTGTCTTGGAGCTTTTGCCAGCAGAAAATATTCCTTTGCTATCAAAATATTCCGTCCTTCAATCTCACCTCATGTTTCTGGCCATTTTCTAAAGTACTGGTGTCCCCAAACTTTTTGGCAAAGATCTGGAATTCTCTGTCACCAGCAGTTCCTGAGTTCTCTCAGAAAAAGGAAAGGCTTCTTAGTTACACACTTGGTTACAACATTTTTCTCTTGTCTTACAGATCAGTGTTTTTGCAGTTTTGTGTGATTCTTGGGTCTCTGGGGGTCTGCTACAAGTTATGCAATATTTTATTCCCTGAGCCAAAATCCCAGTGACAGGAGGCAAAGCAGCATCTCCTGGTGGAGATGCAGTGCTGTAGACCATTATCTTTGCTGTAGCATGTGCCCATGGTGGGAAATGGAGAGGTTGGCTGTAGCCTTCTGCGAAAGTACATAATCCATATAAAACTTGACCTGAAGAAAACCTGATTTACTGAGTGTAGTTGTGAGGACAGGACTTTTCAGAAAAGTCAGAGAATGCTAAGCGTTACACTCTGAAAGAGTTCTCCAGGATAGACAAGAGGAAGGGAAGAAGTCAGCATCTGAAATCATCGGGGAAGTGTGTCCAGGGCTGAGTGGTACATGAAAGGGGTCTGGAGAATGTCGTGCAATGCCAAAGAGGTATTTCACAGGAACAACCCTGAGCATCCTGCAGCAAGGCATCCACACAACCTTCACTGGTACCAGTCTCAACTGGCAAACTCACGTGGCCTAGAGGCAACCACAGCCATTTGTCACGGTGGCTGCCAGGTGGTTCCTAAGAGATGAGATCCTGGGATAGACTCATGTCAGACTGGTAGACATCACTGGTAGCTCATTATTGGCATTTCCAGAGAGAGAAGAGAGGAAAGGAGACAGAATTCACCCACAGGTGATATATCCAGAGCTAAATCCATGTATTTTAGGCAAACAACCCAAGACAGCTTGCTTGTTTCCAGCATCAGCCCTGGAGCTGCTCTGTAGAGAAATAGAAAACATCACTCTCCAGTGCTAAGCTTGTTTCATTCATGAGAACCAAATTCTTGCCTGCACTTAAATGGGTAGCTAATTTCTTTATAAGGGAGTGTACAGTGTATGTATGTATGTTTTGTTCTAATTTTTACCACATTCCTACCACCAATGCTGATTCTCTATCAGTAGCAGTTCAGTACCGCCCATATTTCGTAGATATCGAATGTGCAGACAGAAAATTATCATCTTAAACCAATCTGCACAGCGTCTGAAGCATTAAATATAGATGGCATTATGAAAGGCAGCTGAATTACTCAGACTATGTCGAATGTGGTGCCAGGGTGGCCAAGAATGCTAACAGCCGAACAACACACAATGACTCAAAATACATGAGAATCCCTAAGGGGAAAGTAATAGCTTGCTGTTTCCTATCACTGTGCAGTCCTGAAATACTCCTTCTCTTTCCTCTTCTCCTCCCTGCCTGCAGCCTTTAATTTCTCCCCAAAAGGCAGTGTTACATGTATACTTTTAAATATAAATTATGGACGTGCACACAAGTGCAGGCACACACACTGCCTAGCAAGAAAGAGAAACCTCTCAGAAGGAAAGCATGGTTTCCAGCATGAAACCATCGACTTAGTATTCTAT